TGCCTGCCGCTTATTTCAGGTGCCAGCAAAGCACATTGTGCCTGGCTCCCATCATGGTGAGTGGAATGTGCCGGTGTCTCTGTGGTGGGGGGGGGGGATGATATCGTCTCAGGTGCTGAGAAGCATGGGTTTGATGTGAGTCCCTTGTGTGCAGGCTGTTTGTTTGATGGTGCCACTGTTGTTGGTAGAACGTCTCTAAGTATTGCCGGCACCAGCGTGGACACGCGGCGGTAAAAGCTCTGCAGTGCCAATGTGGTTTTTTTTTTGGTACCACAGCTATTCGCGGTGTGGCAGTAGCAGTGCCAGATCGAGGCCTAAGCTCCGTGGTGCCAAAGGTGCCCAGTGTGTTCCCTTTGGTCACCGTGGGAGACAGGGTGGGAGGCAATCATTTCGAGGGGGACAGTCTGTTTTCCGGGCGTTTGTAGGGCAAAGGGGAGGTAACTCTTTTTGTAGGAGCCTGCCCCGGAAGCAAAGAGGATTGCGAGTCCTCTGGTTGAATAGCTTTCTTGAACAAAATCATTAGGAGCAGAGGCTCCCTATCTTTTCTGGCTCTGGCCATGAGATTGCAGCAATGACTGCATTTTAAGGGCACATGAGCTTCCTCTATGCAGTGAATACAGGCTGAATGTTTGTCTCACATTTCTTAAAGCCAGGAGAACCCGGCATTGTGTAGTCAGTGTGCGCTGCAGAAGTGTTAACTGACACTCTGTGGTTTCTCTCGCCTTCTCTTGTCTCGTTGTTTTGTTTTCTCTTCATCTTTTACTTTTAAATGAGGGGAAGCATTTGGTTATTTGAGGAAGCTGCCAGCAGCTCCATTAGGAGCTGACAAGAACTTTTTTTCCCCCAAGAATGGAGACATAAAATAATAATCTGAAGAAAAAGGGATAAGGCTAACTAATTTTCTCTCTGAGGAGAACAAAACATTGAGGAGAATGAAGAGCTCCATCTGCGACCCAGGACAGTAGAAGAGGAACTGAAGGAGGGAGGGTTGGGCCGCACGCACAGGATGCCAAAGCGAGACCAGCATGAGGCGCTCTTCGCGCATGTATGACCCAAGTTTGACAACTGCTCAAAAAAGCTCTGCTCTGTAGCTCCAGGACATCCCGTCACCAACAGTGGAGCACCCATGGGGACATCACCTGAAGAAGAAAAAAAGAGTAGTACAACTGTCACAAAGACACATATACACAGTCTGACAAATCAAAATATTAAATACCTTGCAGAAATATACACACAGATGTTATAAAATGCTTTTGCAGTATTAAGTGGCAAAATATGAACCATAGTAAAATGTAGAGTGTATAATATTTAATGTAATAATTTTTCTCAGTTGCAAATTGAAACTTTCGTCTCGCTCTCTTTTTAAGAAAAAAGGAAGCAACTGGCTATATTTAGAGGTGTGATGGTTATGTTACGCAAGAGACATCTGGAATACAGGAGATGTATTTGTTTTCTGAATTACAACACTAATCTTATGATCCTTCAGCAGATGACACAGACAAAGCATGTTTCATATAAATATTATGGACTGAAAAATTTCAACTTGTGCTAATGATGTGTTTCGTAACTATAAACCTGGTGTTGATCTAAAATGATATACAAAGTGAAATGATATTTTGAAGTGTTTATTCCAACAGTGAAAGTTCAGTTCAATCCTATCAAATTGCTACAAATGAAAATTAAATGTGATCAACTTACAATTTTTTAAAACATTTTGTTTTGAAAAAGTATTGAAGCCAAGCACACAAATGCATTTTATTACACATGTCTCAGTATAAAAAAGTGTACAATTTTTGAAAATGAGTATTCTGAAAAAGTGTTACAACACAGATTCTAAAAAAACCGCAACAAACAAAAAAAACCATTAGGCAGAAAGTTACTTTCAAGATATCTATGTCAGGTGCAAAGACATTGCCCTACCATCTAATAAATAAGGCGTAAAAATCAGTTTCCCTTTACTCCCCCTGAATACTTGTGACAAAAGAAGGACTACAAAAAGAGATACTAGAGTAACAGCTTGGAGGAAGTCATAGCTCCTGCTCAGGGTGAGGCTGAACTCCATGATGCAGAAGCTTTGATTGATTACTTTTTGCTTATGTTACCTTGGTTTTAGTTACATTTACAACAATATTGAACCACTGAAAAGATTTTGCTGCCTCTAGCTGCATTTTGTTTTTGCTCAGTCATTCTACCAGCTCAGAGTACAATTTAGAATACGGTTTGGTTTGGAAATAGTTATGTGATTACTGGGCTGTGGAAATGATACCTCACTCTTCTGTTAGGCCTGTGCTTACCTATCTTCTTAAAGTTGGTATAAGTCATTGCCAAATTTCTGATCTATCAAAAAAGAGTGATAGATCAAAACTCAAAGAGTTTTTGATCTATCAAAACTCAAAGAGTGATAGATCAAAACATCAAAACTCAAGATGTTCATGATGAGAACATGAACGTGTTATTCATGTTCTAAACTAGGTGGTTTAATACTTAGCTGCTTTGAGAGAGGTGCCAACTTTCACAGAGCTACAAACAGAGCCAGCATTTTGACACAAGAAATCTGCAGCTGTGTCATACGCCTAATGAAATTTCGAGGGCATACAAAGTTAAAGGAAGAATCTCAGCAACTTACTTGTGGGAGAACAGGATGATCATAAAAATATTTTAAGAAAAAACTTGAATGTAATGCAAACTGTATCAGCTTTTAAAAGTGTCTCAACGTTAAAAAAAATAACAGAGGAGCAGATTTCACACTTCACTGAGCAAACATGGGGAACATTATTTCACACCTTTCTTACTGCTACAATATAGTGACATACGGTTGTTTTCACATTCTAGCAGGGTGACAAAACATGAATTTATGCCATCACAGTACAACAGCTACAAAACTAAACGCTAAAATGAAAGTCCGCGGTTTGTTAAGAACATATAACAATAAAATACTTGGCTGAATTAAGTATATAAAATGCTTTATTAGAATTAACATTTCTATGGTATTATGACTATTAATCATGATGTGTTTAATGCAGAGATGGGGAACCTACGGACCATGGGCCAGATCCAGCCTGTGGCTCCCCTTGATCTGGCCTGTGAGGCTTGGGGCTCTGTCCCCTACAGCAGGACAATCCAGCACTGGCACTTCGAGACTTAGCGCAACGCCGCCCCTCCCCCCCCGTCCCCATGTGGCTGGAGGGTGGCTGAGGTGAGGAGCCCTGAGTACTGTGGGCCAGATCAAGGTGAGCCATGAGTTGCATCTGGCCTGTGGGGCTCTGCCTGACAGGGAGAGAAGCGTCTCGGCACGCTGCCAGCCCAGGGAAGCTCGGCCCTTCATTCATTTGCGACTCCACCCCCGTTGCTCCCACTGGCCAGGAATCATCGCCAAAGGGAGAAGCAGGAGGTGGTGGCACGGAACAATCTGTGCCCCAATAGGAGCTGCGTCATGAAAGCATCTCAATCCCTGGCTCCCTCCCAGATCCCACACCTCCATCCTCAGCCTGCTCCTGCACCCCACCTCCAATCCAGACCCCACACCGGCACCTTTGCTCCTGCTCAGACCCTGCAAGCCACCAATGTTCATTCCGCTTTTTTCCATCTATATGTGGAATAAATGTTATGTGCATCAAGGCTTGTGCGGATGTGCACCAACACTAGAAATACATGCCGCCAGCTGTGGGGGCTCTGTTAATCAGGTGGGCGGCACCTGAATCTCTCCTGGGTGGCCACCCAAGCGCATACCCTGCTCCCTGTCAGCCCCTTCCAGCACACTGAGCCCCTCTTTTTGGCCCCCTCCCAGAGCCCAGGTGGTCCCCCAGAAAATCTGGAACCCCCAGAAGAGTTAATCTGGCCGTTGGGGGTACCCTGAGCCTCAATGCCCCCACATGGGGCTGGAGAGTGACAGGAGTTTCTCTTTTTTCTGCTTCTCAGTGGGAGAGGTAAGTCAGTGACAGTTTGGGATTTTTTGTTTTTGTTTTTTGCTTCTTACTTGTGTGTGGCCTCCAACTGACTTCTATGTGGGTCGGTAACCTCAACCCAAAACATGTCCACTAAAATTATATCCTGAGAAAATGATGCCAACCAGCAAATTTACCCAAGATAATCTTGCTAAAACAAAAGGAAAAACTATGTAGCACTTTAAAGACTAACAAGATGGTTTAATAGGTGATGACCTTTCGTGGGCCAGACCCACTTCCTCAGATCATATTCTGGAAGAGAATTGGCATGACCATATATACCAAAGGAATACAATGAAAAAAGTGCACACATAATTAAACTGACAAAGGGAGAGAGGCAGGGAATAGCTATTTATGAGTCAATGAATGGCTAATCAGGAGTGATAAATGGGGAAGCTATCTTTGTAATGGTTAAGGTAATTAGCATCTTTGTTAAGGCCCATTCGTAAAGTGTCAAATTTAAGCATGAAAAAAAGTTCTGAAGTTTCCCTTTGTAATCTGGTGTTAAAGTCTCTTTGAAGTAAGATGCATGTAGTAAGGTCAATAAGACTACGTCCAGGTAGGTAGAAATGAAAAGCAACTGTTTTTTCCTTGTGAAGATGTCCGATTTGTGGCCATTAATTCTTTGGCAAGTGTCTGAGAAGTCTGTCCAATATACATAGCAGAAGGACACTGTTGGCACATGATGGCATACATTATATTTCTGGATGTACAGGAATATGTGTTCTTGATCATATAACTGACATGATTAGGATAAATCTCATTACTCTTTATAAAGGAAGACACTTCTGTTGTCTGTCTTTAGTACTAGTCCAGCCAGTGTCCTAGGACTTCTGAATTTAAGACTAGAATTTTAATTTCCAATATTGTTCATAATTTGCTGTTCCTAAGAAACTGGATGATTTCCACAAACAGGTTTAGTACAAATTTTTGAAAAATTAACACCACTTTACAATAGATGATAAGGTTATTTTTAGAGTGTCAACATGTTGGAACATAAATTTATCAAAGTGCTTTAAAACATCATACACAGTTTTTTGAAATAGTAACACTTACCAGTCCACTTACAGCTACAATCCAAATGTAGGAATCCGAGGTTATGAGCTAGAAGATACAAGAGTAATGATTGTAATATGGGTATTAGTATTTACACAAATATGTTGTTTTCAGTTTTACTAACCCCTAGCATTACGTAGGATTTCTGTCTATCACCTCAAAGTAAACAGCTAGCCTTATCCATTGTTGTGCAAATGTAGTTCCATAATAGTAGCGGCACACTCTGGATCTAAGAGATGGAAAAGGCAGGCGGGATCCAACAGCTTCTCTTTTCCAGCAATGATATGCATTTTATTGTCATGTAACATTATTAAGTGCAACATACTTTAAAGAAATGAAATTACTCCATCCTTGTGGGAAGTGTGTTGATATGAAGCCATAGAATTAGGTTTAAGTCCATAAGAGGCACAGGTCAAGAGAAGGGATCCGTTATTTGAATTAAGCCATAGGCATTTAATCACCTTTTACTGAGGTCAGCCTCAGTACAAGGAAAGAACTGAAAATCAGACTGAAATTGGTTATGGAGGTTGTTCCGTAAGATGTAGACAGAATGGGTGTGTCTAGACTACAGGGTTTTGTCGACAAAAGTGGACTTTTGTCGACAAAACTATACCTGCGTCTACACTACTGCTGAGTTCTATCGACATAACATCGACAGAACTCAGCAGTTTTGTCAACGCTGGTAAACCTCATTTTATGAGGCATAACGTCTTTTGTCGACAGAGTTCTGTCGACAGAAGGTGTTATTGCATCTAGGGTTGTGTCTAGACTACAGAGTTTTGTCGACAAAGCAGCTTGCTTTGTCGACAGAACTGAATGTAGTCTAGACGCTCTTTGTTGACAGAAGCTTTGTCAACAGTATCTGTCGACAAAACTTCTGTCGACAAAAGCCTGTAGTCTAGACGTACCCAATGAGTTCATCTTCCCCAGGTCTGCAGAAAGAGTGACTTGAGATCATAATTCAGAAGTGAGGAAAGGGCAAATGATTGCTCCTCACTCTTCGTGTGTTAATAGCAGCAGTGAATGCAAGAGAGAAAGTCTGAGTGGAGTCAGAGTGACTGGCAATATCAGAGCTCTATTTGTTAAGAAATTAAGGAAGGACAGGAAAAGCCAGGTGGGAAAAGACCCAATGAGGAGATGCCCTTTTAATATAGTTTTGATGCAGACAAGAGGGAGAAATAGATAAGGTTTCAGAGGGACCAAGGGAGCTTGAGTAGAATACAAAAAAACTAAACTCCCTCCAAATGCTCAGGGACATAAAGAAAGGAGGAAGGGTTGTTGGAGAAGTGGCTATGAGTCAGTATTCTGAAACTGGCCTACTCATCCCAAAACACACTTAATGTTTTTATATATTTACTGGTACTTTCCATCGGTAGTTTGAAATATTTTTGCATCTTTACGAATGTTATAGATAGGCATAGCTTATTTATAAATGTGCAAGTTATATAAATCACCCCCTTAATTTTTTAAACATAACTAATATTTTCTCGTTAATTTTTCTCATTATTCTTTTAATTTTATGATCCACATGAATTTCATGTCTAATTCTTATTGACAAATTACCAATTTTATCTGCCAGATGGTAATACTGTGCATGAAAATACAATATACATATCAAAATCTTATAATTAACAAGATCCTTGCTGTCATTGAACACTGACAGAATCTGGCTGCGAAGTTATTAAGGTTAAATACATTTTTTTCCTGATTCACATGACGGGAAACAAGGAAGTTAGCTAAACTACTATATTGATGTGATATTAATGGACTTTTTCTACCAGTATTTTTGTTAAAATAAAAAAGATTAATCAAAATAGGAGATAAAAGATAAGAGCCTAAATCCCTTTTAAAATGAGATTTAAGATCCTAAATCAACTAGGCTATGCAATGCTAAGCATATCACCACTTAAATACATTTAAAATCTGGGTCTAAGGCAATGGTTCTCAAAGTGTGGTCCACAGATCACTAATGATCCCACCACAATCTTGCAGATGGCCATGGGCTTAAGGCTTGCTCCCACCTGCAGCAAAGAGCCCATGCTGGCACTCCAGCTCCACACTCCCCCTTCCCTACCACAATATGGCAAATGAAAATTAATGTTGATAAATGTAAAATAATGCACATTGGAAAAAATAACCCCAACTACACATACAATATGATGGGGGCTAATTTAGCTACAACTAAACAGGAAAGAGATTTTGGAGTCATCATGGATAGTTCTCTGAAGACATCCATGCAGTGTGCAGCAGCAATCAAAAAAGCAAAGAGGATGTTAGGAGTCATTAAAAAAGGGATAGAGAATAGGATAGAGAACATCTCATTGCCTCTATATAAAATCATGGTATGCCCCCATCTTGAAAACTGTGTATAGATGTGGTCGCCTCACCTTAAAAAAGATATATTGGCATTGGAAAATGTTCAGAAAAGGGTAACAAAAATGATTAGGGGTTTGGAAGGGCTGCTATATAAAGAGAGATTAAAGAGACTAGGACTTTTCAGCTTGGAAAAGAGGAGACTAAGGGGGGATATGATAGAGGTATATAAAATCATGAGTGGTGTGGAGGAAGTGAATAAGGAAATGTTATTTACTTGTTCCCATAATATAAGAACTAGGGGTCACCAAATGAAATTAATGAGCAGCAGGTTTAAAACAAATAAAAGGAAGTTTTTCTTCACATGGTGCACAGTCAACCTGTGGAACTCATTGCCTGAGGAGGTTGTGAAGACTAGGACTATAACAGGGTTTAAAAGAGAATTAGATAAATTCATGGAGGTTAAGTTCATTAATGGCTATTTGCCAGGATGGGTAAGGAATGGGTCTCTAGCCTTTGTTTGTCAGAGGGTGGAGATGGATGGCAGGAGAGCCATCAGTTGATCATTATCTGTTCGGTTCACTCCCGCTGGGGCACCTAGCATTGGCCACTGTCAGCAGACAGGATACTGGGCTGGATGGACCTTTGGTCTGACCCAGTATGGCCATTCTTATGTTCTTATGAAATTGGAGCACCAGTGCTGGCTTCTTGCTGGGGCAGAGGGGCGATTCTCCCATCCAGCCCCTCCATCTCCAGCCCACTTCTACAATCAACTCCCCCACAGACTGCCCGTAGCCTGCTCCTGCACCATGCCTCCTGGCCAGACCCTGCAACTCCACTCCTCCTGCATCAAATTTTGTCATCATGGGTGGTTGGCTGGTGGTCCACGGAAAAGTCTACACTGAGAGAGGTGGGCTGTGGGCCAAAAAGTTTGAGAACCACTGGTCTAAGGTAAAATGTATTAGTGGAAAAATTACAAAATTAGCTGAAAGGCATACAAAATTATAAACTGCTACACTGCTAATTTAATGAAAGGTGAATAAGTAAACACATACTGTACCTGTAGACCCAATATGTAGACCAATGTCTTGTTTGTGATGGGAAATTGGCCTAATATTTGTGTCACTTGCATCCTTGGAATGGAGCAAAAAAATGGTACAAACAGAGCAAATACAGGAGCCAAGCTGCGAAAGAGGGGAGGAAAAGTATATAAAATGTAGATACTAATTAGGAATGATTTCAAAAGGTCTCAGTTAACAAATCAACTTGATACCCATCCTAATGTCTTAAATACAAAAATGTCTATTGCATTATATAGGTTATTTCCACTGATGTTTTGTTGGACTTTTAAAATTGTCATTCCTTTTTTGTTTGTTTGTTTTTTCTTATTCGTCAAACCAGCAACAAGGATATTTTATTTGGCAAAATACACATACTGACTTAAAGATATTGTATACATTTTGAGAACCAATTTTGACCACATTAACATTATTCACATAGCTCCCAAAGTTTAATACAGACAAGATCCTGACATGATATACAGAGTCAAAACAGATAAATGATAAGGGACAGAGTTATCAGCAAACCACGGAACAGTGAATCTTCAGTAGCATGGAAAAGGCAATAGCAAAAGAAACCACACACTATATATAGGGTGGGAGGAGAGGAAAGACACAACATTTTCACTCAGTCCTCTTGCAAGGGGCTTGGGCAGAACATTTATGAAGATCACCAACAGGGAAAGAAAAGCAGGATAACCTTACTCAAGGACAAAGATACCTTTTTTCCCCTTTCAAAATGTGACTGGTAACATGTCATATGGCACAGGAGAAAGAAGAACAGTGCATTCTATATGGTCTATGAACACCATTGCAAAACTGCATTCTTAATGTTCACCAGACATGAGGGTGCTTTGGAATTTTCAAATATGTTACCACATGACTATGTGTCACCAATAGATACCAAAACTCAGAAAGCTTAATTCTTAATTTCACTTGACCAGACTTCTATAGTACTACAGATATCCTGTACTCTCCAAGGCTGCCCTCTTATTCATAACTCAAAGTGCCTACAGAGTCTGTAAACCCTAAAAGGCAAATCCCTGGCAAATACGCCTGGCTACGCAGCTTTGCTGCTTTATGTTGCCAAGGCTCTGTGGTCAGAAATCAAATAACCTGCTGAAATGCTCACTCTACTTTCATTTCACTGCTTGAGGTAATAATGAAGGAAATATTTTTATGAGTTAAAACGACTATCCACAAACAACACAGAAGATTCAAAATATATGGTTCAAATATAATTTTTGTGCTTGCTCAAAGAATCGTGATTATAAATATTTATTTTGGTTTATGCTTTACCAGCTAAAGGCCTCCCTTTCATCCTCTCTGGAGGTTTGAATTCTTTAATTTGATTGCAGGGGATTAAAGAATAAAGCAATTTTAAACATCTTCAATTTGATGTACATGACAAAAATACAGGTTGGACTTCTATAATCCAGACTTCCCTTGTCTGACAACATCTGCGGTCTGGCATCGCAGTGGGTACTCCCAGACTAGAGTACTCGGGGGAAAAGCCAGGGGCTGTGCTCTCAATAACTCCTTCCCTGCCCTCTCAGAGCTTCCAGAGCACTGCAAATAGCTCATTTGCAGCATTCAAGGTCAGGGAAGGAGAGGGAGCAGCCAGGGGCAGTACTCTTGGGGAAGAGGCAGGATAGCTGTGAAGCCCTTTGGCTAGGAGCAAACCTGAGGTTATTCAGCAATTTTAAAATGCTGTAATTTGGAATAAACATAAAACCAGCAAAATTACATAAGACTAATAGTCCATCTACACTAGTATCCGGTCTTACAACAGTGGTCAAGGTCAGATGCTTCAAAGGGAATGAACAGAACAGGGAAATTACCAAGTGATCCATTCCCTGTCGTTTAGTACCAGCATTTTGGCAGTTAAAGGCTTAGGCGACATCTTCACTTACCATGCTGGAGATCAATCTTCTGGTGTTTGATTTTACATCCCTCATTTCAACCACTTTGCCTAATGCTGAAGTTAGGCTGACCAGCCTATAACTGCTGGGATAACATCTGGAGCCTTTCATTTTTAATGGCACCACATTAACTATCCTCCAGTCATCTGATCCATAGTCAATAGTTCTGTAATTTCATATTTGAGTTCCTTCAAGAACTCTTTTGTGACTGCCACCTGTTCCTGATGACTTATTCAATTTATCAATTTGTTCCTAAACCTCCTCTACTGACACCTCAAACTGGGACGGTTCCTCAGATTATTCACCTAAAAAGAATGACTCAGGTGTGGAAATATCCCTCAAATACTCTACAATGAAGACTGCAACAGCTTGTCTTGATTCTGTTAGCTAGGATGATCTTTCCTTTTTTGTCCTCTACATTTTTTAATTTAGGGTACAGATTTAATTTGAATCTCTAAAACAGTGTTTTTTTAAAAGTTTCCACAAAGCTTGCAGGCTTTTCATTCTTGTGACTATTCCTTTCAGTGTCCATTTAATGACCTTTCTAATTTTTTCTGCAATTCCCCTTTCTGAAATTAAATGCTACTCTAGTGGGCGTCTCTGGAATTTTCCTCCCAACAAGAATGTTAAATTTATTATATTATGTTAATTATTATGAAGCAGTTCAGCTACATTCACCTCTTGGACCAGATCCTCTGTTCCACTTAAGATTAAATAAAGCACTGCTTCTCCTCGAGGGTTCCAGGGTTAGGTACTCCAAGAAGCAATTAATGAATAGTGGCTAGAAACTTTATCTCTGAATCCTGTTTTGAAGGAACATGACAATATGGGGATAGCTGAAATACATTATTATTGAGTTTTCTAATTGTAGCGTCTCTCCAATCTAGGAATGCCAATATGTAGTCGAGTACACGATTAACTGATAAACCTAGGTTTATTAATTAATCTTAACCACTACACACCCCTCCCCCTGCTGCCTCAGTATCAGAGGTAGCAAGGGGGGAGCAGGAGCTGGTAGCATAGGAAGCCGTTTTTTAAGCTGGCGCCCCACCAGCACCGAAGCAGCAGAGCTGCCTCCCCTCCCCAGTGCTGTTGCCTCTGATAGAGAGGCAGCAGCATGGAGGATGGGAAGGGAAGGCAGGAGCCAGTACACATGGGAAGCCAGCTCCCTGCACATATCAGCTGTATTAAAGGCAGCAGTGCAAGGTGGCAAGGGACTCCCCGGGAGTGGGGCCAGAAGCACACTGGCTGCTTGCCCAACCCCTAGGGACTATCGAATAGTCATAATATATTATGTGGTTACACAACTATTCCATTAATCGCTATCTAACATTCCTACTTCAGTCTCCCCCACAATTTCACAATCACCATCCTGGTCAGGTGGTTGGTAATCTATTTATACTGCTATACTTTTTATTAGTCAAGCATTGAAATTTATCCATAGAGATTCTATGGTACAGTTCAATTCTTTCAAGACTGTTATTATATTTGACTCTGTTTTCTTTCACATATAATGCGACCCCCCATGAGCACAATCTACTTTGTCATTTCTATACATTTGGTACCCCAATGATTGTCATCATTCCACCAAGCTTCTGTGATGCCTATTTTATCAATTTCCTCATTTAATACCAGGCATTCATGTTCAGCATTCTTAGTATTTGTAGCATTTGTAAACAAGCATTTATAAAATGGGTCACTTTTTGATCAATGGCCTTCATATGATGTAACTAAATGGGATTCTTTATTCACTTTAATGTTTTTATTCAGTTCCTATATGTATTTTATCAACTTCTATCTTTTCCTTTTTACTGGATTATAGAGAATCCCCTTTAATAGATCCTGCCTCCCCTCGGTATAGAAATCTCTATCAAGCCCAGTGTGCCTCTTTACCAGTTAGCTTTTCTAAAAAAAATGAATATGTTTCAATTTGCCAACTTTGTATTTAAACTTTACATCCATAATCACTACAAGATAACAGAGTAAATATGCAAAAATCCATCATAAAATTGCATGCAAAAGTAGCATTAGCAAAACAGCAATCATGTATGTCTTCTAAAAAATGTTCTCTGACCCATGAGAACTAACTGCATTTTGAGCAAATAACTTTACAATTCGCCAAAACTGTAGTATACTTCCAGGTTTTATTCCTTCTGTACTAGATGATGACTCAGAACACACACACACTCATATTTTACAACTGAGTGAACTTAAGAAGGGAAATTACAGAAAGGACTTTCCCAAGATCACAAGTGCATTTTAACATAGATGATAAAACATTAAAAGTTTCCTTAAATGTCAATATCTGCTGTAGATTACAAGAAAGAAACAGAAAATGCCATCTCAGGTCAGGCAGTGACACATCTAATCCAGTATCCTGTGTCTAGCCATGGACAGATTTCAGGTAACTGAAAGGATGATGCAAGGAATCTGAAAGCTGACAATCAAATATTGATGTCAGCAATCAGTTAGCATTTGGTTTATGCCCTAAAAGATTTGGGGGTAATGTCCCATAAAAAATCATAAGAGGAAGTTACTCACCTTGGGCAGAAACGACGGTTCTTCAAGGTGTGTGTCCCCGTCGGTGCTCCACCGTAGGTGTTAGGCTCGTCCTGGTGCCGCAGTTCGGAGATTCATCAGCCGTGGTTTAGCCGGACCATGCATGCGCAGTGGCAGCACGTGCCTTTCGCGCCATTTCTAAGGCTGCGCATGGTCCGGCTCCCGCCAGTTCCTCGGGTCACTCTGAAAAACATAAGAGAAGACTCCGAAGCGAGGAGGAGGGTGGGTTGTGGAGCACCCATGGGGACACACACCTCGAAGAACTGTTGTTACTGCACAAGGTGAGTAACTTCCTCTTCTTCTTTGGGTAGTGCCCCGGGGGGTGCTCCACTGTAGGTTAGTACCGAGCCATCGTCTAGCCTACGGAGGAGGGAACGGAGTCAGGACCTCTGCACTGTGGAGAGCACTGCCGATGCTAGCGCTGAGTCCCGAACAATGGCGTCAACTGCATAATGTTTTGCAAATGTCATGTCCGAAGACCAAGTCAGCGCTCTTTGAATATCTTGTAGTGAAGCACCTTGGAGGAAGGCTGTGGTTGCAGCTGTCACTCTGGTGGAATGTGCATGTATCAAGGTAGGTACTGGCTTATGGTGTATCAAATAACAGTGCACAATGCATTTCACAATTAATTTGGAAATACTCTGT